GAGTTGGAGGTTGGTGTGAGCTGTGATGCCATGGCACTCTACCCAGGGGGATAGCTTGAGGCTCTATTCTAAAAAAAAAAAAAAAAGAACACCAGTTCAGGCTCAGCGACTGTTGCTCAGTGGCTACGGCACCAGCCACATACACCAGACCTGTCAGGTTCAAATCCAGCCTGCACCTGCCAAACAACAATGACAACTACAACCAAAAAATAGCTGGGCATCATGGTGGGAGCCTGTAGTTCCAGCCACTTGGGAGGCTGAGGCAAGAGAACCACCTAAGCCTAAGAGTTTGAGGTTGCTGAGCCGTGACACCTCGGCACTCCACCCAGGGTGACAGCTTAAGACTCTGTCTCAAAAAAATAAAAGAAAAGAAAAAAGAAAAAAGAACACCAGTTCAGGAAGCAGCTCAAGGTTTAGGTACCAGGAGAAGTTCACAAAATGCCACTTCTGTGACCAAGTAAGTGGGTACCTGGTGTGCCCCGCCCCCACCCCAGCAAATCCTAGACATAAACCCATCAGGTTTCAACAAAATTAAGAGCACAATGACAACCTCCACAGTAAGCAGGTCTCAGGAGACTGAGTTACTACCAGCACCTCTGGTATAGCACAGCTTGGTACAGAAAACATGGAATAACTCCTAAGTCTGATTAAGAAAAAAGTGAGCAGCACAAAAGCTGCACCTCTCATTCTTATTTACTGAGCAAATTTCCAAACAACAGGAGAATCTTACACTTACTCAAATATTGACGGAACTGGTGGAAAGAAAAATGGACAGAATCATGGATCTAGGAAAAGCCACTTTTATTTCAGAAAATATTTTGGTAAAATTATGGCAAGCCAGCCTGACACTCTGCCTCTACCCAATGTGCTGTCTAATTCAGGATGTGTGTGTGCAAATACTAGTGAACCTGAGAGAGACCAGAGTCCCAACTTTGAGCCTATGCATTGCCTGAGGATAAGACCACACCACTTACCCTTGGTGAGGTGCTGGTAAAGTTTCTAAGGGTCACTCCTGATGAGGACCATTCAGCCCCAAAAGCCCCACAGGTTTCACACTGCTTGGTCTGCTTCACTTGTACTAGAACTCTTTCTAGTACATAGAGTATCTGCACCACTCTGGACAGCAGGAAGCAGTTTCATAGCAGACTCTCCAACAGACTGCTACAAAGTTTACTCTCCTTCCCCTATCCTCCTCAAAGTTTTTTCCAGCATAGCCTCAAAGTTTTTTTCCAGCATAATTACAATACTTCAGATGGAGCAGTTAAGTCTCAAGCTACCAAGACAATGTGCCTGTCCCCTGGTGCCAGCCCTTATTAGGATTGGCCTTTGTGCTGAAGCACTTCTAACTTTTGCTTTATGCTGCTTTATTTCTCTTCTCTGATTCCATGTGCCAACCAGAAAACTCTTTGCCTATTAATGGGGAAGTCGTTCAACAGAGTCCTCAGACCTTAGCTATGTTTGCTGCTGTTTTCTGTTCCAGTCCTTTTTCATCATCAGACACTTAGACTTCCTACTACAAAGAACACTATGAAAATTTTGAGACATACAAAAATTAAGAAATGTAAAATCACTCTGATACATTTTCTCAAAATAATCACCTCAATATTCTATGCACTTTTTTGGGGGTGGGGGGTAGAGAGTCTCACTATGTTGCCCTGGGTAGAGTGCTGTAGCGTATTAGCTCACAGCAACCTCAAGCTCTTGGGCTTAAGTGATTCTCTTTCCTCAGTCTCCCAAGTAGCTGGGACTACAGGCTCCTGCCACAACACCCAGCTGTTTTTTGGTTGTAGTTGTCATTGTTGTTTGGCAGGCCCGGGCTAGATTTGAACCCACCCGCTCTGGTGTATGTGGCTAGCACCCTAGCTACTGAGCTACAGGCACCAAGCCTCTAAGCACTTTTGCTTTCTTCTGAACTACTTCTGTGAACACTCTTTCCACTCATTTTTTTCAAGTACTATAAGCTTGCTTTCATTGGTATGAACAGCTTCTTCAGGGCTGGAGAACCTTCTTTTGCATATGCAATTTTTTACAGTAGGGAATAGGAAATAATCACATGGCGCCAGGTCAGGACCACAGGTTGGATGAGTCCTAAGTTTAACCTCTGTGGATTCCAGGAACTGAATGGTGATGTTGGCTGTGTGGACAGACGTGTTGTCATGGTGCAAGATGGTCTCCTGCAGTCCTGTCCTCGACACTTCCTGAAAACTTCTGGTCATCATACTACTGTATACCACTGAGCAGCAATAGTCCTTTGTTTCTCCAGCAGAGTAACTGTGACATAACTGCTTTTGGAGAATAAAGTTACCACCATTTTTCTTTCTGACATTGCAGGGCCACTTCACTTTGGTTGGTGGATTTTCATAGAGAAAAGTCCTTGCTGTTGACTGATATTTATTCTCTGATCAAACTGGTAAACTCAAGTGTCATCATCGCTAATGACATCAGAAATGCATCCAGACTTGCCTCTGTTAAATCTGAGCAGCACTTCTGCCCACCATTCAACACAGATGCACTTTTGCTTGTGAGACACCCACTGGGATGAAACTTTTCTGAATCTAAGATAATCGTGCAGTACATTAGTCACTGCTGGTGACCTAATCTGTAGTGCTGCTTCAATTTCCTTAAGTGTCAACTCCATTGTTTTCCTGAACCATTTTTCCACAGCAACACTATTTACCTCAGTCACCGTGGTTGCCAGATGCTCACACCTCTCGTCTTTCAGTGAGGTTCAACCTCTTCTAAATTTTTGAAACCACCAAAAAACTGCCATGTGGGAAGGAATAAGGTTCCCGCAAGCCTGTTGCAAAGACTTGTTTAACCCACATTTAAAATAGAAAATCACCATGTAACAGTGCTCTCTTCCCAGCACCACAGCTGACACCAACTGAGCACTGCACAGGGAAACAAATGACACCTCCCAGCAACAATGATAAACTGGGCAGGTTGAAATTTGCCTGGGTGCATCAGAAAGGTCACGGCTGTGGATTGTCATTTCTTGGAAGTGAAATAATATACTGTAACACAGTTTGTCTCAAAACTTTTGTAGTGACCTTTGTATTTATGGGTTTAAGGTTAATCGTTGCTATGAGATGCTGGGGACTGCTTGGACTTGTGCTCCTTTACCATGTCGAAGCAGGGATAAAGATACTGTCCACAAGCAATGCCTGCAAACCTGGGAAATCAAAGTCTGTCAGACGCCCAAATCCAGTGGAGTAACACGCTGGGTGCTACCAAGCAACTGAAGGTACAATTCCAGGACGCCTCCTTTTAGTTCTGACAGACTTGCACTTGACCGAGCTTTAAGAACGTATTTAAATCTGAGTGCTATCTGTACACATCCCCTCATCTGTTCAGTTGCCTTCTTATAAAATAAAAATAAAACTGTCTTTACCTACTCAAGAGAAATTCACTGCGGCCTTTAGTCTAAGAAAGAAAAAATAAGAATACACACACAAATTTGGCTATTTTTGTAAAAAAAAAAAATTCAAGAAAGAGGGCAAAGGGGCAGAGATAAAAATATGACCTCTCTAAACATGTCTTTTTTGCTTAATTAGATTTTGAGCCATGTATGGGGGGGTTCCATTTTTTAACTATGGTAAAATATACATAAAATTTACAATCTTAACCATTTTTAAGTGTATGGTCAGTGATATTAAAATGCATTCACTGTTGTGCTACTATCATCTAGCTCCAGATTTGGCTGCTTAATCACAAATATCCTCATTATTCTGTCCAATTTGTTGCAGCAGACATGTGCTGTAGTTGACTGACCAGGTTTCATGAAGCTGTAGTGGGTAATACCAGTGCTGGACCACCAAACTATTACTTTTCTGGATAAATACTCGGGTTTGGACTATGTTTCCACATTTCATCTTTATCCAACCAGGGTGCCAAACATTTGTGATTGTCCAAAGGAATCCATTTTCATTACATGTAACAACACAGCATACAAACGGTTCTCCTTCATGTTGTGACAGCAAAAAAAGGCAAGCTTTAACACGATTTCTCTTCTGATGCTCATTCAATTCATGCAGAACCCATCTATCCAGCTTCTTTACCTCACCGATTTGTTTCAAATGGCCCAATATTGTTGGAACAGTAACATCAAACCTTGTGGTTAATTCACATGTAGGTTGAGGTAGATTCACTTCCACTATAGCTTTCAACTCATCATTATCCATCTTGGTCATGGGTCACCTATGTGGCTCATTTTCAAGGTTAAAGTTACCAGAAAGGAACTTCTCAAACCACTGACATACTATGTGTTAATTAGCCACATCCTTCCCAAACAACTTTGTTGGTACTTTGAGCTGTCTATACTGCATTGGTCCCACGTTGGAACTCATATTTGAAAATAACACAAAATTTTGACTTATCCATGGTGTTACAAAAATTGCTCTTAAAAAAAAAAGTGAAAAAAAATCACAAGCCAAAACATGTATTTGAAAGAATGAAGATGTAGCTTCACATTAAAAATTAAACAATATGTGCCAAAGTGAAATGTCAGAGATATCAACTGTCAAACTCAGTACTTAAAGAAACCAGACATTTCATACTTAACAACTTAATAGGAAGCCATCTGGCTGTTATCCCCCCGAGGGACTTGGTACACTAGTGGTGACACTACGTGCTTACTGAAGTGAGGACTACCAAGTATATAGCAACCCCATGGAATATTTTAGCTGCAAACACTTAATCTGAATTTAAAGAAGGCTTTACACCTAACTCCCATATTATAAGATATATAAGGAAACAATGCCATGAAGAAACAGACAAATTTGGAATGTTGGTAACTTGACATTAATATAACTCCAAGCCTAGCAAGAAAGGTAAACATGAATGTTACTGGCTAGACCCTGGTTTGAAACAAAGACATTTTAGGGACAACTGGGGAAATATGAATACAGACAGGATGTTAACCTAACATAAACTAAGGCGTACTAGGTAGGACTGTCTGATGAAACGATTGTGGACTATGTTGAGAACATCCTTATATCCAGAAGATGCACACCTACGTGTTTAGGATGTTATGTCATGTCTGCAACTAACTTTCAAATAGTTCAGCCTCACACTCACACTCAGCAAACAGAACAAAATATTCACTGCAGAATCCAAATGGTAGATATGGTAATGTTTACTTTACTATTTTAAATTTCTCTCTGCATACTTGAAAACTTTAATAGTAAAAGCTGGGTGGGGGGCCAGTCCTGACCTCAGACAGGAGAGCAGATCACAACAGTGCTCTGCTGCTCAGGGACAGCAGCCATGTCTGTCTTCCAGCCTCCGTTCTCTGACATGAAGGGCTCACCCAAGTCCACACCATCAAGTGGTATCTCTAAGGCATCTAACCACTGTTCTGAAGTAAATGACAACTGGGAAATAGGAAGGAACAGCAACACAAATGGCCTTACTTTCAGCCACAGGACTGTTAATATATTCTATGAAGGACTATAAGAAAGGGCAGAAGAGGTGAGGCTGACACATTAGGGTCACATGCTCAGGCGTTACCTTCCACAGAGGTCACTAGGACAGTAGTCGTGATGGCAAAAACTGAGGTCTGAAACCAGGCCTACAATCCCATCACTGTTTATGTAAATTGCACCTACCACAAACTAAATCATCTCTCACTAATCCAGGTACTTCTAAACAAACTCTAAGGGCTCTGACTCCTCTCCAGAGATCTCTTGCAGCACTGGTTAGACTTAGCCTGCATCAAGAACAGACTTTTCCAAATGTTTTAAACAACAACAGAGAAACTACGCTGAGCAGAGTAACTGTAGTCTTACACTGACATATTACTTCTCTCATCTCCCAACAGAAAATAAAATTTTAATGGCCAAACTGTACAATGAACCAGAAAATACTACTAATCAAATTCATAATGCAATGTCCTTTTACTTTAGGATATTTTCCTGTAATAAAAACATAAGCCCTCCTTTAGTTGCTGCGGAGAGATAGTAGATTATAAACCACAGCAGATGCATGGTTTTCAAAGATTTAGAGAGAGAGGTGAAATGGAATTGAAGTCAAGAGCCGGGTAAGACGTGCTTCTCTGTGCCAGAAAAGTTGTTCAGGAAGTCCAGGGAGAACACATACTACAAATGTCTCCTGCTTAACTACTTTAGGTTTTCTCCCTGGAGTGGTCATCTAATACCTCAAACTTACTAGTGGGACAAATGACAGCAGTTAAGAAACTTCCCAGGCACACAGAAAACATTACAAATTGCAAATGTGAATTTGAGACAGATTTTGTCCCTTTTCAAATTTAGGTAGGCATGTTAATCTTGTGGACATACTTTGCCTGCCTAAACATATATGAAGTCCTACAACAGTCACCCACCTACGTCACCTGTGTTGACCTGAACCAGTCTCATCACCCTGAAGACTACATTAACAGAGAAGTTCAACTCTTGACAGTCTCGAGGCCACTTCTATAGCCAACAGCCCTCCTTCTCTAGAACTTACTAGGAGCCTTGGTTACCTGACATTTCCTCCAGCCTTCTGTATTCTCATTCGTTCTTCATACTGGGTTGGATTATGCTCTTTGCTGAGGCTCAAGGCTGCGTGTTTCTGACTCTCCTCATTGTAACGACACAGGATTGCCTAGGAAGATGGAGATCACAATAGGCAGGAACAGTGAGCCCAGGGCCTGAATTCACCAGTTGTAGGGAAAGGTTAACAATGGAGCTTCCCATCAGCCTCTTGTTATAAAGACAAGTTCAGAAAATTAAGCATCAAAGAATCATCAAAGACACAACAGTCAGGGAACGACACCCCTGGTTTTGATCTCAACTGCTGCAAACTCTGCTAGATAGCCAAAGCCAATTGCTCACTTTGGCTATTGTCACATTTGTGACAAGAAAGGGAGGCACTCAACAAGCATCAAAGTCCCTTTTGACCTGAAGCCTCCAAGGTCAAAGATGTGAGTCCCCATGAGTCTACAAAGAGGCCAAGAGGAGGGCAGCATTCAGCACGCTGGCCAAATCCTGGGCAGGCACCCTCACTGCTGCCTCTACATGTTCTCACTTGCACCAGGTTTACTGAGTCTGTTTCAAAGAGGAGGACACCAAGTCCTGAAGGACAAGTAACACACCTGAAGTCATACAGCAGAGTCAGGATTCAAATGTGGGCCTGACTCCTAAAGCCTTTTTCTTTTGACAATTCTCCTCCTGTTAATTTTGTAGTCACCTGGTCTAAACACGTATGTGCTAGAGCCACTCTACTAAAGGATCACTGGATACAAACTCCACCAGGCAGGGGTTGTCATCTGTTATGCTCACTCCTGTACTCCTAAAGCTTGGCGTTTGTTTGATGAGCACCGCCCCAAATTACCAAAGGTGAAGGGTGTGAAGATGTTGCTTAAGCGTGTGCAGGATCACTTTGTCTCCATGCTGAAGCAGCATGGAGAAAAAATGGCAATGGACTTGAACAAGTGCTCCTTATGCAGAGCAGGGAGGCACAGAAGCCAGCCTTCCAGAGCACCCCCTGCTCCTTTCTGTCATTAGCCACAACTATCACTGGGGCAAACACCTTGCTTTCTCAGGAATGAATGGCACCTCACCTAGTACTTCTCTCTGTTACAGCTTTTGTAACAGTTATTCTGAAATTACAATGATTTTGAGGAGCAGGGTTAATATTTTTCATTCATTACTGTCTGAGGTCAAAATAATGACATAAAATAGTCCTCAAGCTACTTGCGCACACCATAGCATCACACACATACAAAAGAAACCGTGAGAGGAAAATAGAAACAAAAGAGAAAGGAGAGGAGTTTTAAAGAAGTCTGTACAGGGCATAAGTCTTCCCAGAGAACAGTTTCAATAGCTGGTGTTCCCCTAAGCATAAATTAAACTCTGAAGCAGGACAACCCACAAGAAGAAAGACTTTAACCCAGCCATCATTTTAATCTTATTCAACTAGTACTTATTCAGGTTTCCCCCCACATGAAACATATTGTCATCTAAGTGGTTGGCTCCAGAGCCACGTACCCGACTATCTCCAAGGTTGGCAATATAAAGAATGTTGTCTACAGCCAAAACACATGTGGCAGTGGACCCATCTTTCCAGGCAGGCTTCCTGGAGGGAAACACATCAGAAATACAGTCATTGCTAATAGCCTAGCACTTTAACATTAATTTCCAGGGCTGAATGCTAAGTCTTATACTTTAAAATACACTATTTCAGGCGAGGTGGAGTGGCTCATGCCTGAAATCCTAGCACTCTGGGAGGCTGAGGCTGGAGGATGGCTTGAACTCAGGCTAAAATTTGATTCTAGCCTAAGTAAAGTGAGAGTCCGTCTCTATTAAAAATAGAAAAATTAGGCTCGGTGCTTGTAGGTCAACAGCTAGGGCGCAAGCCACATACACCAATGCAGTTTTGAACCCAGCCCAGCCTGCCAAACAATGACAACTACAACCAAAAATTAGTTGGGTGTTGTGGCAGGTGCCTGTAGTCCCAGTTATTTGGGAGGCTGAGGCAAGAAAATCGTTTAAGCCCAAGAGTTTTGAGGTTGCTGTGAGCTGTGACGTTATAGCACTCTATCGAGGGCGATATAAAAGAAAAATTAGCTGGGCGTTGTGGCTCATGCCTCTGGTCCCAGCTACTCAGGAGGCTAAGGTTAGTGGATTGTTTGAGCCCAAGAATTTGGGTTTACTATATGCTAGGCTGAGGGCATAGCACTCTAGCCAGGGAAATGGAGCAAGACTCTGTCTCCAAAAAAAGACCTATTTCCCTGATACTTGCTTTTTTTCTGTTTTAGGTTTTGCTAATGGTTAAAAGCATTTCCTCAGTGCTAGGCACTTTTCATACAGTAGGTATTAGTATTAACCCATATCAGAAGACCTGAAAAGTGTTTAGGAGAAACACCATAACTCCAACTTCTTCAAGGAGTTATACTTACTGGCTCGAAGCTTGTTTAAGGAACTCTTCATCAGTATGCTTAAAAGTGTCCAAAAGGCATCTCTTCACAGTTTTTTCTACACTGATTACATCTCCTATCACAGAAGGGCCAAAAGAAAGCATCTCTCAATGAGGAAAGAGTATCCTCTCCCAACATCATTTTTGTTTTTGTACTTTTTGCATATCAATTGATTCTGAAGTGTGAGTAAGAATAATCCCTACATCCTTATCTACAAGTATCATCTGAATTTGGTTTTACTAGTTTCCCAAATGTAAAAGCAAGACACCCGCTATACCCAAAGACAATTAACACAAGATGCCCATTGCTTAGACATGAGCAGTAGGACACTAAGCCATGCCCACACGGCTGCTACACCTTGAAGCCTGAGTCCACCCCTCTCAGCCCCATTCTTTTAAGAGTCACCAGTGAGTCTCTGTTAAAGCCAAAATGACATATCTGATTCACACGGCCATGCAAACAACAAAAACCAAAATGAATATTAGTTCTCACTCTCACCTTTGGGAAATTTCCTGATTAAGTTCTGATGCAAATTCTGTGCAGCAAATTTTGAGGCTCGAATTCCTCCATGTCCATCAAAAACAGCAAAATATGAAACCCGAGTACTAGAAGAATGAATTGAGAGCCAGTGAGATTCTCACAGCAAAGATCACACTTCTCCATTAAAGCTTTTAAATCTCATCTCAAAGAGTGAACATAAGACAGAAGGGGATGGGCAGTGGCGCATGGCTGTACTCCCAGTACTCTGGAAGGCTGAGGTGGGAAGATCACTTGAGCACAGAAGTTCAAAACCATCCAGGGCAACATAGCAAGACCCCGTCTCTACGAAAAGATTTAAAATGAGCCAGGAGGCTCGAGCCTGCAGCCCAATGGTTAGGGCACCTGCCACATACACCGGGGCAGGTGGACTGGAACCCGGCCTGGGGCCTGCTAAACAACGACGACAACAACAACAACAACAACAACAAAATGGCCAGGTGTTGTGGCAGGCACCTGTAGTCCCAGCTACTTGAGAGGCTGAGGCAAGAGAATTGCTTAAGCCCGAGAGTTTGAGGTTGCTGTACGCTGTGATGCCATTGCACTCTACCAAGGGTGACAAAGTAAGACTCTGTCCAAAAATCAATCAATCAATAAATAAAAAATAATGAGAGCCAGAAGTAGAGGGCTCAAGCTTGTATTCCTAGCTACTCATGAGACCAAGGAGGGAAGATCACTTGAGCCCAAGAGTTCAAGTTTACAGTGAACTGTAATCTCACTACTGCACTCTCATCTGGGCAACAGAATGAGACTTTGTCTCCACAGGGAAAAAAAAACACAACAAAGTCACACTGTCCAGTCCACCCTTACAAACGAAAAAAAAGAATGACATTAACTGAGACAAACATTTAAGTAGCTTTCACAACTTTTTTTTTTTTTTT